CAGGACCTGGCAACTTGCCAGGCAGTGCTTGTGCCATTGAGCTATATTCCCCAGCCCAAGCATTCTGTAAAGACTACCAGAGTCACAAGTTGAATGAAGTGTGTGTTGTTAGCAGGCTTTAATACCTGGTACACTTTTTCCCCATCTTCCCATAGTCTCTTAGTTGGCTATGTCCATCCCAGTTACCATTTGACCCTGGTTTCAGGCCTTCCGCTCATCTTTCTTTCTAAAATTGTATTTTTCCTGTCCTTTGAGAGGGCCCTATTAAAAATCCACTGGTTAATAATGTGCCATGCTGATCCTAGATCTTCCCTTGGTAGTTTCAAAAAGTGTGGTTAGTAGAGGTGGAGAAAAGGGAAGCAGGAGGAGCAGGATTGGTCCTCCAGTGCTGCCATTTACTCCACAGTTAATCTGGCTGAGTTTTCTGTGTGGTACTTCATTTGTTTTACTTTATTTATTTTATTGTAGTGTGTGTGTGTGTGTGTGTGTGTGTGTGTGTGTGTGTGTTTGCACCTTATGTTTGCCAGGCAGGCACTTATGCCACTGAGCTGTCTCCCCAGCCCCTTCATTTAATTATTAAAAGAACCTTCTATTATTAAAAGAACCTTCTAAAGTCAAAAGAAAACAGAGCCACTTGTGCACTTTGCCACAGTCATATAAGCCACTAACAGTGATAGCACCAGGATATGTATCCAGTTTGCCACATTCCAAAGTTCATGGCGTGGACCACCATTCTGCTTATACCTGTTTTAAGTTGACAGAAGTATCTAAATTTCTGTTACAGAAGACCTTAGATCTCTGTTTTTAGTTAATTCTGACAGTATCTTTATCCAGAATACATATTATGGAACATAGTTGTTAACTGGGTATGGTGGCACATGCCTGTAATTTCAGCACCCAGGAGGCCTTGGTAGGAAGATCACTGCAAGTTCAAGATCAGCCTGCACTACAAAGCAAGACCCTGTCTCTAAAACAAACAGCAGCCCAGGATGCTAAGCAGAATAACTACTTTGTAGTGGTTACTGTTATCTGAAGACTCTTCATGTGCTTGTAGCTTTAAAAGGCTAGAGTAAGAATAGGCTTTAGGATTTGAGTCTGTGTGGTACCAGAGATTGAAACCATCTTGAGTTACATCTTCATCCCTTTTTAGTTTTTCGGTTTGACATAGGGTCTCAATAAGTTGCCCAGGTTGAATGTGAACTTGAGATCCTCTTGCCTCGACCTCCTAGAGTCCTGGGATTACAGGTGTGCACTTCCATGCCCCTTTATTTAGGACTTCTTTCACTACTTAGGGACACTTTCTTTCAAGTGAAAAAATGAAAGTCTGGAGTTTTCTTGGTACCAACTTGGATGTTCTAGCCAAAAACCTGCAATGTGTTTTTTTACATCTTGAGATGTTAAAAGTAGAATATTTGCAGCATATGCTATCCCTACATCTGTCTTATAGCCTATATGTGGAAAAGAGGTTGGAAAGTTCAAGAAGTGGAAAAGAAGCCAGTGTGATTGCAAGGGAGAAGAATGGTATGAAATGAGGTGAGAAATGGGAAGAGGCGGGAGCCAGGTCAGGTAGAAACTTGAAAATCAGAGTTTAGATATTGCTTTCATGCAGAGAAAAAGGTTGGAGGGAGTTTTAAAACTAGAGCAGCCAGCCAGGTGTGGTGGTACACACCTGTAATCCCAGCACTTGGGAGGCCAAAGGCAGGAGGATTGACATATTTCAGCCCAGCCTAGGCTACTGCACAAGACCTTGTTTCAAAAAAGAAAAAAGTAGAGCAGCCAAATGTGACACACTTGTAATCCCAGCTGTTTGGGAGGATGATCACAATTTTTAGGCCAGCTTGGGCAACTTAGTAAGACCCTATCTCAGAATAAACTTATGTTTTAAAGAGGACCAGGAGTTACAGCTCAGTAGTTAAATGCTTGCCTACTGTGCACAGGCCATTAGTTTGTTAATCTCCAGCATGGGGGGCAGGTGAGTAGAAGACTTGGTTCCGTTCATGTTTTGAAAGCTCAGTCTTAACTATCCTCATCCCCTTGCATCTGCTACAACTGTTCTCTAGAACCTTGTTTCTCTGCTCAGCTGTCTACCCCAGCATCTGGGGGTATCAGCCTAGGAATGTTCTCATTCCCCTGATTGTGCACTTCTCCACCGAGGAGTTCATAAAACTCCTACAACATAAATGAAGTACACAATGAGTAAAGCCAGATCCCTTCTTCAAAGGTGGAGAGGTGATGGTGCAGAAGCACAGATGGAACCTGGAGGACAGTTCAACTCACCTTACAGGACTTGTTTTCCACAAATGGCAATAGGATATGCCTACCTGGCAGGGTTATTTTACAGAATATCATGCTGAAGAGGAGGGCAGGCAAGGGAAAGGAGTGGGTGCGCAGAGCCTCTGACTTCAGGTGCCACAGAACATACTGAACTTGGGTCATCAGGAGGTCCTTGGTAAATGGAAGCAGTATCCAGAGTATGGGAGGAAAGGAGGTTTGTTAGGAATTATGATGATTGGGATGAGGTAACATAGATAGCAGTCGTGGCTCAGAGCTGCGTGTGGTTGAACTGGTAAAATCTGGGGGAACCAGACATAGGAATAGTTAGCAGGAGGCACAGCCCATTTGTAGTCCCTAGGCTTATGGATGAACTCAGCTGAGTAGTGGTTAGGATGTGCCTGGGGCAAAATATTCAGGAAGATGAGATTTGTTTATCTCCCTTTTTACCAGTTAACAGACTTGGCTATGGCAGAACAAATACATGCCCTCTGAGCACCTACAGTCCAGTCCTCAGAGTGCAACAGCCTACTAGTAACCAGGAAAGGCAAGTGTGGTTCTTCCCTAGTCCTTTGTTAGAGCAGCACTTGCCACTGGGCTTGTTGGTATTGCACATACCTGCCACGCCCAGCTGTGGCAGGTAGGCGTCTCAATCTGTCTTTTAAACTGGGAGTACTGATACACTCCTATAATAGTGCTCTGGCAGACTAGACAAGATCAAGATCATACTTTTGAGTCCAGTCTGAGGCAATTTAGCAAGATCATATCTCAAAAGTAAATACAAATGTATTTTATAAATTGTGATTTTTTATTTTATTTTTTAGTTGTGGTAGGCATTAAACCAAGGGTCTAAAGCAGTGATGGCGAACTTTTTAGAGCTGTCAGTGATAACAAATGGCATGTATGCCATACGTTCACCACCACTGGCCTAGACAGAGTATGCTAAGTACACGCTTTATCACTGACACATGTATGCCTCCAGCCCTAAGAGTGACTTTAAGAAGCAATCAGAAAGGGGGGCTGGGGAGATGGCTCAGTAGAATAAGCACTTCCCTGACAAGCGCAAGGGTCTGAGTTCAGGGGCTGGTGAGATGGCTCAGTGGTCTAAAGCACCTACATAGAACAAGCTAAGCAAAAGCACAGGGACCGCAGTTCAATCCCCAGCACCACATGCCAGCCAGCCCCGCCCCCTAGTGGGCTGAACTGGCCACACACACACAAAATAAATAAATATTTTTTTTAAAAAAAGGGTCTGAGTTCAATCCCTGGTTCTGCCAAAAAAAAATTTAAGAAGCAATCAGAGGGACAGTATACTATTACAATGGGCTAAAATAAATGGCTATAGCAAGCTGGACATGATGCTGCACAGCTGTAATCCTAGCATCCAGGAGGCTGAAGCAAGAGGAACACCTCACATTCAAGGCCAGCCCTGGACTACATAGTGAATTTGAAACCAGCTTGAGCTACATAATAAGGCCCTGCCTCAAAAAAACAAAAACAGAACCGCTAAAATGACTATACTATTATGAATGACAGATCCAATCTTATACTAGTAAGACAGCGTCCAGTCAGTTGCTGACCTTACTTCATTCTTTTTTTTTTTTTCCTTGACCTTATTTCATTCTAAGTGATTGGTACAGAAATTTGTGGTTTTTTTTTTTAATTTATTTATTTATTTTTCCCCTTGCCATTTTGTGAAAAAAGGTTCTCAAGCAAGATTTGTAGGAAAACCAGCTTACCAGAGCAGCAAAAGTTAATGTGTGAGAGGCTACAGGATATTTTTGTTTTGTTACTTGTTTTTTTTTTTTTTTTTT